GGCATCTTAGCATTGTACACGTTACACATGTGTTGGATCAGCATCTAAGCAGTTATTGTTCATAGTCGACAAAGAAAACATCCAAACAAGTAAAATACGAATTTTCACAAAAAGATCTTAGAAGACTTATACAGAAACTGTGCATTTACAATGAATAAAAAGCAAATATAATTAGTTTTATCTAGTAAACTCCATTGACACCAATGATCGTGTAAAGCATTTCAGCTACCTCACAATATGGTTTGATAGGCTTTCTAAAGATCTTTTCCAAATATAAGTTAATGTTCGTTTTATTATTCTAACTACTATATAAATTGATCCTTTTTGATCAAAAATGGGTAATTCATAAAACAAAGATTGTTACAAGTCTTTTCTGTAAAATAATTGCTTTTGATAAGTTGATCATCTTTTTCAAAATAACCCACTTTCACAGCAATAGACTCGAAATGCTAGTTTACCAGAGACAAGTCTTTATAGATCCCTTTTAGACAAGGTATCTTTCTTATATGTTTTCGTCTAAATACGCTCCGATTCTGGTATGATTTTGGTGGGATATCACTGATTCTTAATTCATTTTCTCTTGGTTCCCCTTATTTCCATCTAGAATATAGTCTAGTTTCTATTCTATTCTGTAGATGAGAACTGCTTGAAAGAGAAAGGTTCCAGTGTAGTAATTTTCTGATCATATTCGACCGAAACGCAGCAAAAATCAGCATTATACGTTGTCTCAACTCAGAAAAGACTTCGAATAGATGGCCATGTATCACGGTACTGAGTGAAAGCAGAATGAATGAAGGCTTTCAATCAATGCTAAATGAATGAAGTTTGAGAAAAAATGATTTGGAAGCAAACATCATCTACAACGATAAGGCAATAAATAGAGAAGGACGACGAGTGCCATGACGATCAAGAAATTAAGAAAAAATTCGATCTAATACAATAGAGTGAGACTTAGTCAATTGCAACTTTTCTTGCTTTCAAAAAATATTTTCGCACTTTTAAAATCTTTTCACTATCTTTAATGATGATTGAATGTGAATTACATATTTTTGACTCATGAAGAAGCATGCTAACAATTTTCTATGATATAATTTGTTGGAGCTTTCAATATCCTCTAGAGTCATATGAGAATGGATATCGGGCAGGAAGTGTGAGTTTGCAGAGTATTCTTATCCTGAAACCATTATTGACAATTGATGAAGATAAGCTTGTGAAGGTTTATTGAAAATTGATTCGTGATAGGCAACTAATCGACTGAAAACAATCAGATTCAGTAGAGTAATTAGTACTTGAGCGAATCATGTAAAGTACGATACCTTGGCCAAAGTATAAGGATACCTTAGATTGAAGAAAACTATTGAATATAATAATCTGTATTTCTAGTGACGACAACAACGACGACGACAGCAACAACAACAACGACAACAACGACAACAACCACAACAACGACAACAACGACGACAACAACATCAACAACAAGCACAACAACGTCAAC